CCTTTAAACATTTCTTCCTCATTTTCTCTATTATCTTAGCCCCCTCAGTATATCCTTTATTTCTCTTAACTGCCATCTTGTATTTTCTATATTTTCTTTCTCTGAGTTACATTTTTGATAATTCATACAATACTATCATCTTTTTCACTAAATTATTTTCTATCTATCTAATCTGCTTTTTTATACATCAAGAGAATTTTACCTTCGGGTTTTTTTTTAATTCTGTTCCTGAAGTCCTGTTTGGTTCTTTTTCAAGCTTGTTTGATTATGTGTGTTATTTATTATTATCTAAAGAATTATTTGCTTATATTTTCAAGTGTTTGATTTCTTGAACTATGTTAAACATTTGTATTTTTATTCTTTGATAATTACAGTATCTGAAGTCTGGCTGGTGTGTGTGTGTGTGTTTCTGTTCTTCTTTGTTGGCTTTAACCATTGGTGCCTGATTTGCTTGTGTGTTTTGTGATTTTTATCAGTGAGCTCATATTCCTTGAAACTTTATCTGTGGGAAATTTATGTGACCTGAGTTGAAGTTGAGTTTCTTCAGAGAGGATGCATGTTTGCTTCTGCTAGTTGTTTTGAGTAATGGCAATTCAGGATTATAGATTCATTTTAATTTAAATTCTGAAGTAGAGGTCTTTTCAGGCCATATAGCTGCTGTGGATTTGGGCCACGCATGCTCATAGGGATAGACTTGCAGTTTCAAAAATGCATAATTTTTCTTTATATTCTACCTCTTCATCCAGAGGAGTGTCAGGAGGAAAAATGTTATTTTTCTGTCCTTTTTTGCATAGTGGGTTTATTTCTCATTCCCTATTCCCCGAGAGTGAATGTACCACACTGCACAACTCATGCTGAATTCTACGGCACTCTGCAGAGTTGGCCTATATCATAGCCCTGGTTGAAATTGCATTCTTTTGGGGTTTCAACTCTTTATGCCGGAATATCTTTTATTCTTCTACTGGCCCAAGGCTTTCTCTTCTTTTCTGGTACCCCACACAGCTGTGAATGGAGAGACTCAAAGTCACCAGGATTGGCCAGTACCCTCCAAGCCAGAGCACCCTTTAGTACAGTTTCCATGTCAGGATTCCTGTTTTTACTTTTTTGTTTGTTTGTTTGTTTTATTTTGTTGGGGTTTTTTTGCTTTTGTTTTTGACTACCACAGATTTCTAACTTCCCATGTTATCTCTGTAATTCCTTAAAAGAAAATGCTAATTTTATGCAGAGTTTTCTTACTTTCATCGTGATAGTCATTCAACTTAGGGTGGCTATTCCAATATTTTGCCAGAATTGGAATCCCACATTTAGCATTAATATTTGAATATATAAAGAGAATCATTTATGACTGTTACATTCCATACAGTAAGAACATTAGTAAATACAGAAAACTAGTGTTTTATTTATTGATCCCCTGTATCCACAGGAGACCGTTTTGTTACTAGGTCATTATATGCAGCCTTATATCTAGGAGAGGATCTTTGTCTTGTCATAGATCTTGTTATCAAAACTAATTTATTAACCATTTGTATTTTATTATTATTATTGGTGAAAGGCAGGCTTTTTAAAGTGTTTTTCAATCCTCTTTCTTGTAAAGTCAGCCCTCTGTATCTGGGGGCCCTGTATCCACAGACTCAACCAACTGTGGATAAAAAACATTCAGAAAAAAAAATTGCAGAAAGTTTCAAAAAACAGTACTTGAATTTGCTACATGCTAACAGGCAACTATTTACAGAGCATTTACATTGTATTTACAGTGATTTATGTAGCATTTACATTGTGTTAGGTATTATAAGTGATCTAGAGGTGATACAAAGTATACAGGAGGATGTCCGTAGGTTATATGCAAATACGGTGTCATTTTATAGAAGGAACTTGAGCATCCTCAAATTTTGGTACTCCTGGAGGAGTAGGGGTGAGGGTCCTGGAACCAATTCCTGCGGACACCAAGGCACCACTGTGTCTGCATGTTCTGCAATGTAAGACAGTTTAATAGTCTCAAGTATTTTAATAAAAAATAACATCCTATAAACGTTATTCTGTAGAGTCAGAACAATAATAATTTTCTTTGAGATGACATTATTCTTATAAAGTTAAGTGCTATAATTTACCTGCATTTTACTGCATCTAGGATGTTTATTATAATCACACTCTAGTGAATGAACATTCATATATACATATCCTAGTCCACTGGGGTGAAAACTTCAACACAGAATATATTATTAGAATGGAATTATTTTATGCATGCATATTTTTGGGTTTTTTTTCAGTGCCTGATAGTCCACCAGAAAATATTACTTACAAAAATATTTCCTCTGGAGGGATTGAGCTATCATTCCTTCCCCCAAAGAGTCCCAATGGAATTATACAAAAATATACAATTTATCTCAAGAAAGGTGATGGAAATGAGGAAAGAACTATAAATACAACTTCTTTGACTCAGAGCATTACAGGTAAAAAAATAAATAATGCTAGCTATTTACATTTATATTGACAGAGTGGCCACAATATATTTGCTTATTGTTATATCATAAATGGTGTGATTAGTTTTATGTGGGGTATGATGATTCTGGCTTTTTGGTTAAATAAGCTAGGAGTTTATGGCAGGTCGCATGAAAGAATATTCTAGGTCAGTCCTTTTCCACATGATTCTGTATCATTTTGTCTTCAAAATAGGAGTTACAATTCCAAGAACTACGTTTCATTTAGTTCTTAGTTTCGGAGGATTGTTAAGAGGCATTTCATAGTTTGCCTCTTGCCTATTGTTAAAAGATATTTTGTAAGTCTTAACTTACCTATTTTATTTCTGTTTAGGACTGAAGAAGTATACCCAATATATGATTGAGGTGTCAGCCAGTACCGTCGAAGGCGAAGGAGTTCGGAGTGCACCTTTAAGTGTGCTGACTGAAGAAGATGGTAATTACAGCACTTGATGCTGGTTTATTTCATATCCATCACATTTCAGAAAACATGTATATGCAGTGAAGATACAACGTCAGAATTCTCCTAGCTGGGGTAGCCGTTGTGTGCCACACCAACATTGTATAGAGATTTCATTGTCATGGCGTGTAAGAAGCTTGCAGAGTCAGATTTTCCTTCAGTAAAATCAGATATAAAATGCTTTTTAAAATTCTGAAGTCATCTGTGCTGTGTAAAAAAAAACAGTAATTTTTTTTCCATGGGAATTTTTAAGGCTAAAATTTGGGTTTGAATAGTGTGAGCATCAATCGGTGTATTTTGACTGTGTTTTTCAACTTTCACGTTCATTAGAATAGACATGTATGTAAATTTTATAGTAGATTCTCTTACGTTAACCTACAGCAGTTTTTATTGTTACTAGAATTATCTTGCTAATGTGTTCAGGCTGTTTTCCAGGTTTATCTACCTAAGTTGCCAAGATGCTATGCCCGAATGTTCGTAGCCTTCATATTGAGTATTTAAGCATACCTTTTCCTAACCTGAATGAAATTATCTTTACTACTAAGGCCATTTTCCAATGCTGCCTCACCAAGTTATAGGCATACATCATGCTAAGAAAATTACTTTTGAAGGATATATTTGGTGTTTGGATTTGCATTTTGTTTTGTATATTGTGTATTTTGAGAATGTTATTTATTTTTCTTCCTGTTAAAGTGCCGTTGCCATGATGAGCGGGTCTGGATGTGTCACATGTTTGTAGGGTATCTTTTGCGTCCTCTCTTTCAAGTTCCCTCATCTTCATGCTAAGCTGCACCCTGTGGATGTTCTGATTCTAGTCATTCACCAGGACAAAATGTGCATTTCATAATTCTAGAAGAAGAGGACTTTTCTCTGCAGTGCTCTTATTTTATTCAAAGTAATGAAGTCCTCAGAACCCTCTTCTCCCATTTCAGATCCCTCCCTGGCTTCCCTTCCACCAGGTTACTTCACCAGAGTATCCTGGTCAGGTGCTCTACCAGGGTTCTAAACTGATGGCTTAGTTTCTACTCCCAGTTCTAGAAACTTAGAACCAGTCACCCAAGTTTCTAAGTCTTCTCATGGCTAGTCTTCCTTAGTTATTGCCTCTACTCAATATGTTGTTTCTCCATCAAAACTTACCTTTCCAAATTTTTATTTTTCCATAGTTAGATTTTTCTTGCTCTCAAAGTGAAAAATTAACCCAATATATAAATTTTCCCAATGATACAATGGTTAAAGTTGAGCGAAGGTTAGCTCTCCTTTCTGTCTTAGATGATGTCTAAGAAAGATAAATTAAGTCATTTTAGCAATGTCCTTATGGACATAGTACCCATTTCTCTATTTCTAATCTAATTAAATAGTCCCTATGGTAAGAATTCAAGGTCTTATATGAGAGGAACCTAGCCCAGTAGTGAAAATACATTTTGAGGAGGCAGAGTTTTGTTTGTTTGTTTGTTTTTACCACTCAAGTCAAGTCAATTGTTTCAAATTATACTATACGTCCAAACTGTTAAAAATACAGTCACGGTAAACTTCCATCTAAGTCCTTGGTCTTATTGCTAAGGAACAGGGTAAAGAACAAGACTCCCTTATAGAAAAATTACAGCAAATCGAGAATTTGAATAAAAGCTTGAGATAATTTCCTTTGTTAGGTATCAGGAGTTTCTTGCCGTCGTAGAGCTTGAAGTTCAGTAGAAGAGATCTAAATTTGACAAATGTGTAGATAAATAATTTTTACAATTCTAATTACTGGTATAAGTGTTCACCAGAACAGAAAAGGAACTTCAGCTACTCTGAGATATCCAGGAAAGTATGGCTGAGGAAGTTATGGTTAAGCTGTGACCTCTGAAGGAAGATGAGTAGAATGGGGTGAGGGATAGGAACGGGTAGGAGGCAGTCAGAGCCTTGTGAAGACCCTTCTCGTCTGTCTCATACATTCTGTCATGTTGAATTGGATAGACTGCGAAAGACACTGCATTTAATTATTCTGTTTTTCCAATTTCATTTTAAAAATTGCATTTCTGAATATAAATGGTATTTTAACAAATGTTAAAAATGTTTGAAAAATGTTTGTCTGCAATGGTAGATATGAGTGTTTATTTTGAAAGGCGTGTTAACTGCATTTATTTAGCAATAAAGTTTTACATAAAATAAAATACCCAAGGATATGCTGAAGATTAAATATAAAACACCAAGAACTATTTGCTGTTCCACATAAACATGTTAAAGCATATTATAAAACAGAAGTGCTTAGTTACGTGTTCTATATCAGCGCTGGTTTTGATTAAAATCCTTTTCTCTGATTAAAAATGAAAGTTAAGTTTTGCACTGATATTCAGAAAAATATTATAGGTTTTTGTCTTGACAATGAGAGTTCTCAGTTAGAGATAATTCATATCTTGGGAAACAGACATCTCCAAATGACATATGGAATCTTGTGATAATCAATATTTGATAGCATTTTTATTGTAGTGCCAGTGAGAAAGCCAGCTGAAAACACAAACACAGCTGTCACCATTATTCCATAGAACTCAACTCATAAAGCTTTTCTCTGCTCAATAAACTCCTTTTTTGAAAAAATTATCATCACCAAGATAATGAAAACACACACGTGTGTGTACACACACACTAGTTGAGGTTATTCTGAAAATCAGAAAGAAAATGTAATAATTCAGGCATGATTTTCTCCAGATTATTGGAAAAAGTGATCTGCACATATACTAATCTGTAAATTTACATTTTTCAAAGATCTGAACAAATTCTTCAAATTTCTATTAGCTATGAGTTCACTTTCCATGTATAACTAAGTGATCAAAATTTTAGTAATTTATACCTTTTGCATGCAAAAACGTGTATTAATATTCTAAGACATTACTATGCTGGTACAGAGCAGTTGGGAAATGTCTTTCTAACGTTTTATTGAAATGGAAGCATAAACTTGGCTAATTAGTTTCAATAATTTTTCTTAGTATTTATTCCTTGTAGAATGGCTAAAATATTTGAATTTTTAAACTATTATAGCACAATTAGAAGTAGACCCTAAAATGTCTATATTCTTACTTGCTATAATGGCATTTCCTTTTGTAAATCATTCAGTTTTAAAGAATCAGTGAAAAGATTTTGATACTCTTTTACAGTTTAATAACACAACTGAAATTGAATGCAGTTTTCTTTTGTGAGGTCAGTCATTTTAATTGCTTTCCCAATGTTATAATTTTCACTTTCTTCTTGTGATTTTTTTTCCTATTTTTTTTTATCGTTTGGGGAGCTCTTTTACTATGTATTATATTTATTCACCCCAATGGTTTTATTTTTATTAGAGGATGATAATTTACCAAGATGTACTTGAACAGTAGGTGAATCACAGTGACATACTCCTTGTTCTTTTTTCTCATGAAATATTTTTTTCCATTGAATCACAGAAACAGATGTGCTAACACCACCGTGCAAAATCTTCTTTTATCATCTCATTTTGAAAGTAAACAGTCTCTCAGGCCCACAAAAAAGGGCACTTTACCCCATTCATTTGCCAGAAAGTTCATGATAAAAGTTTTGTACATTTCCATTTTAACTTTTCCTTATATACGTTTAATACAGTGCATTTTTCTATACCTTAACTTTTCAGCTCCTGATTCTCCCCCACAAGACTTCTCTGTAAAACAGTTGTCTGGTGTCACGGTGAAGTTGTCATGGCAACCACCCCTGGAGCCAAATGGAATTATCCTCTATTACACAGTTTATGTCTGGTAAGAATTTTTTTCTTTTTTGGAAATAGTTCTGAGAACAAGTACTAATCTGTAACATAATAGGAATGCAGTTTTAAAATTTCAGATTGTGATGCTACATTAGGAATCTGATTATTAATAGTCTAGTTAATATACCGTTAGTAAGAAACAACTTTTTCCCATATAATATAGAGGTCTATGCATAGTCAAATGATATTAATTTTGTAACCAAAACCAAAAAAACTATGTATTATGTATAATTACACTAAATTTCTGCTCTTTAAAGTCATAAACTGGTCAACTTATGTGACTACAAGTCTGTAATCTAAAACGCTTTCAGTTTTACTCAAATAGCCTCAATGCCACTGCTTTTTTAAGTTTCCTTGGACAGAAAAATTTAAACTAAAATTTAACTAAAAAAATTTCTTCAGTAATCTGTTACTTAACGCCAGTTTTCCATTGAAATGTAAGCAGCGTATTTATTTTTGTCTGATCACCTTTGCCCTAATTACCTATTTATGTAAGTAGTTGTGAAAAAGACGAAATCCTATAGTGCTTCTCATATCAATTAGCAACATGGCTCTACTGCTTCCTGAAAACTCAGTAGATAAAAATCTCCCTATAAATCCTCTTGATAAGATTCACTAGTTATTTATTTCCTAGTGTGTGTTAAATATTTCAACTCAGAAAGTACAATTTACATGATGCTTTATAGAAGATAGGTATTTCTTACTTTTATATTCCTGATTTGGAAGATCCAACATGGAGTGGGAGGCTACAACGTTTTGAAGTCTCCTGTTCTCTTTCCTAAATTGTTTCTTTCCCCAAACCCTGTTGAAGCCCTTTGCTCACTGCTCTTTAGGACTACACTCCCTGTGTTCTTCATTGCCTGATTTCTAGTCACTTTGCCTACCTTTGGCAAAACTGGGAGTGACATGAGAGATATTAGTGGGAAAAGGAGAGTGGGAAGAAGGTAACCATTCCCCTCTGTTACCCTATTTGTTCATTAATCTCTTCAGTTTTTCATTTCATCATTCAAGATATTGAGAGAAAACCTATGTACCTGTGAACAAGACACACATCAGACCCCTGCCCTCAAGGAACTTACATTCTAAAGAGATAAGTAGATTATATATCCATAAATAAACAGATGAGGGGAAGTCGGGTGAGGGGACTACTTTTGGTGGAATGCTTTGGAAGTCCTCTGATGAAATGGCATTGAGTTGTGATTTAGATGACAAGAAGGAGCTTCTTGTCATGTGAAGATCTGCAGGAGGAAGGAGCATCCACTGACAGGCTCTGTAGAGAAACACATTTGTCATTTTGAAGACCAGAGAGGTCAGTGTTGGTGGGAGTTAGAGGAGAGCTGTATTGGAGGGTAGGAGTCAGACAAAGGTCAGGGCTAAGCCATCCTAAGGAGTTGGTTTTCATTTCAAATGTAATGGAAGTTATTCAAGAATTTTAAGACCTTGGGAAAATTGTAGGGGGCAAAATTGTTAGCAAGGATACTAGGTAGGAGGTTATTTTAGTAATCTGGGCAATAAATGATACTGGGATAAAGGAGTGAAGTGGGAAGCTTTTCATTACATTAAGAAAGAAGAATTGACAGGACTTGGTGATGGATTTGCTGTGGGATCAAAAAGGAGAAATGAGTCAATGATGACATCTAAATTTTTTTCCATTATGTATTATTACAAGATATTGAATATAGTTCACTGTGCTATACAGTTGGTCCTTGTTGTTTATCTCTTTTACTTATAGTATGCTTATCTACTGATCTCAAACTCCTAATCATTCCTCCACCCCCCTTTCCTCTTCAGTAACCATAAGATTGTTTTCTATGTGTGTGAGTCTGTTTCTGTGTTGTGAATGAGTTCATTTGCATCATTTTTTTAGATTCCATAAATAAGTGATATCATATGATATTTGTCTTTCTGTATCTAACTTACTTCACTTAGTATGATAATCTCTAGGTCCATTCATGTTGCTGCAGATGGCATTATTTCATTCTTTTTATGGCTAAGTAGTATTCTTCTGTGTGTGTGTGTGTGTACGTGTACATGTACACACCACATCTTCTTTATCCATCTGTCTGTTGATGGACACATAGGTTGCTTCCGTGTGTTGGCTATTGTAAATAGTGCTGCTATGAACATTGGGATGTATGTCTTTTTGAATTAGAGTTTTCTCCAGATACATGCCCGGGAGTGGAATTGCTGGATCATGTGGTAACTCTGTTTTTAGTTTAAGGAACCTCCATACTGCTTTCCATAGCGGCTGCACCAATTTACATTCGTACCAACAGTGTAGGAGGGTTCCCTTTTCTCCACACTCTCTTCAGCATTTATTATTTGTAGACTTCTTGATTATGGCCTTTCTGACTGGTGTGAGGTGATGCCTCATTGAAGTAATTAGTAATGTTGAACATCTTTTTGTGTGCCTGTTGGCCATCTGTATGTCTTTGAAGAAATGTCTATTTAGGCCTTCTACACATTTTTCAATGGGTTTTTTTTTCTTTTTTATATAGAGTTGTATGAGCTGTTTGTATATTTTGGAAATTAAGCTCTCATTGGTTGCATCATTTGTGAATATTTTCTTCCATTCTGTAGGTTCTCTTTTTGTTGTATTTGGTTTCCTTTGCTGTGCAAAAGCTTATAAGCTTAATTAGGTCCCATTTGTTTATTTTTGTTTTTCTTATTTTGCCTTTTGTGACTGACCTAAGAAAATATTTCTACAATTTATGTCAGAGAATGTTTTGCCTATATTCTCTTCTAGAAGTTTTATGGTGTCATGTCCTATAGTGAAGTCTTTAAGCCATTTTGAGTTTATTTTTGTGTATGGTGTGCGGGAGTGTTCTAACTTCATTGATTTACATGCTTCTGTCCAGCTTTCCTAACACCACTTGCTGAAGAGATTGTCTGTTCCGCTTTGTATATTCTTGCCTCCTTTGTCAAAGATTAATTGATCAGAGGTGTGTGGATTTGTTTCCAGGCTCCCTGTTCTGTTGCATTGATCCATATGTCTGTAGTATTGTCTGAAATCTGGGAAGGTTCTGCCTCCAGCTTTGTTTTTTTTCTTCAGGATTGCTTTGGCAATTCTGAGTCTTTTGTGGTTCCATATAAATTTTAGGATTATTTTTTCTAGTTCTGTGAAAAATGTCCTGGGTAATTTGATAGGAATAGCATTAAATCTGTAGATTGGTATGAGTAGTATGGCCATTTTTACAATATTAATTCTTCCAATCCAAGAGCATGGGCTATCTTTCCATTTCTTTGAATCATCTTCAGTTTCCTTTTTCAGTATTTTATAGTGTTCAGAGTATGGATGACATCTAGATTTTTGAATCAAGGGTGATGACTCTGAGATTTTTGATACCCTTTTGCTGAGGTAGGGAAAAATGAAGAAAGTTAATGAAAATGAGAATCAGGACTTTTCTTGCTGGCGTTTCCAGCCCTACACTGTGAGAACAGTGTCATTACTGTATACAGTGATCGTGTTGTGTAAGTTCAACTCCCCAATAGTACGTTTTCTCTCCTCTTTCAGGGAGTCTCCCTTTTCTGTCTCACTTCCTAAGATGGATTCTTGATACAGAGGCAGCCCACTGAAAGCAGGGTGAGGAGATCTCAAGTCTGTGATGCTGTGGTTCGTCTCACCTGGCTTTTTGGGAATCTTTCTGGTGCTTACCTTTTATCCTAGCTTCTAGTTTGAAGGGTTTTATTTTCTGTTTGAAACTTGATCCAACCTCAGGCTTATTCTAGTGCCCTGGCTCTTAGTCTGAATCAACCCTCTCAACCCTCAGGTAGCTCATGCTCTAGGTTGTTTTCTCTTACCCAGTTTTTCACTTGAAGACTGGGAAGGTGACCTCCACATCCTTCCCTAGCTCTGGATGGTCTGCTAGAAGAGCCCTTAGATCTTACTGGACATGGTGCCATATTGAGGATGGAGATTTTCTAAGAGGCTTTTCATTTTCCTCTCCATCCTGAGAAGGAGCAAGCCCTCCACACTTTGATTTCCTTCACAAACCTATTGGGGGTGTTTTCATCACTCTACCCTCACCTAAATATCCAAGGACACTCCAGTCTGACTGCTTTGTCCTCTTCTTTCTCTCTCGTTTTCTTATTAGCACAGAACTTTTTCTTTTCTTGACTAATGAAAGCCCCTTTCTTGACTTGTACAACTTTAATGTCCCAAATCATGAAAAATTGACTTTCCATGTGGAAAACACTTGTTCCTCAACAGAACTTGGCTTTAGTTCACACACACACACACACACACACATACACACACACAAACCCACACCACATGTAGCGAGGGAGAGGGTAAGAGAAGAGAGAGATGGTGAGAGAAGAGAGAGAGTGAGAGCGAGATCCTATCTGCTTCAAGATCTACTTTGTTTGTTTTAGGGGGAAGTAATTAGGTATTTATTTATTTATTTATTTACTCATTTATTTATATGGAGGTACCAGGGATTGAACCCGGGTCCTCATGCATGCTAAGCATGTGCTGCACCACTGAGCCATACCCTCCCTTCCAAGATCTACTTCATTCACTGCTGTATCTGGAACAGAAAACTACCTGGCTCATAACTGAAATTAAGTATTTGTTGAATGGATGCATTCAACTTTATTATTATTGATATTAAAATTTTAACTAAGAACATATTTCTAGAGTTAAAAATTTAATATCGACTTTTTCTCTTCACACTTCTAGCTTCTGAGTAGTGGTGCTTTTCCAGACAATGGATGCCTCAGGTTGAATAAATAAGGACATAAAAAGAAAGAACAAAAAAGGAAAAACACCTTAACATGTTCAAGAATATTATCTATAATAGCCTGAAATATATATTAATGATAATAAAGTATATACAGTGATATTGTAAAATTCCCAGCATCTTCTTACTGTTGGAAGCTTTAGCCACTGCAATTAAAGGGATAGTCATAATCCTGGGTTCTTTCATACCACTATCACTAATTCCTACTGCTTTTTTGGAACTCCTGCTGGCTCACTTTTTTTGGGGGGAG